CGTAGCAATGGTTTTTTTTTTTTTTCCCTTGATTGCATGATTTTGGTGGTTTCGGTTTGGTTTTCCTTGATTTGTTTGTAGGAGGGTGCATAGCAGGTTGTATTAGCTTCGTTTTTGTTGTCTCCTGTTTATCCCCCCTCCCCTCCCTTACCATAGCGAGCAACATTGGGTCTTTCTACAGAAACTCCTCCCTATCACTCCAACCGCGCAACTACAAGATGACCCCCCTTGCTAACACCGCCGCCCTCCTCATCAACACTCTCTCCTAACCCCACGGCAAGCAGCAGCAGCAGCAGCAGCAGATACCTCCTCTCAACTAAGTTCACGAGGCAACGAGTAATTATCCCCCTCCTCCCCCCCCCACCCGCCATCCGACACCCATCCGAGCCCCCAAACAAAAACAAACAAAAAAAAAAAAAAAAGCCACGAACCAAACCACACCTCCCCTAACCCGCCCCCATCACCGCACAATTCGAGTGTCTCGGATACCTTCTGCGCCGGCCGCGGCATGGCGACACGAGGCAGGTCACACACAGATCTTGTGCTGCCGTCCCGCGTCCCACGCCGGAGGCCCCGCGGGAGGACGCATGTGCATATGCATATGCAATGTCTGGGGAGGGGCTGGGGGGATGGGGGGAACGGGGTGGGGGGGGGGGCATGGCAAACCGCCTTTCTCTCTCTCTCTCTCTCTCTTTCTCTCTTCCCCTCTCGCCCCCGTTGTTCTTGGTTCTTGTGTCGAAAGCCGAGGGTTTTTTCTTTTTGTTGGTCCGTCTTGTTATTGTCTGGTGGGTGGCCTTGTGTGGGTTATTGGGTTGGTTTGGTTGGGGAGGTGGGCAGGATGGGTAGGGTGTAGGGTGCTTGTTGGATCGTTGGTTGGTTTTTATCTTTCAGTTGTTTTCTTTCGTCAGTTTTGTGCGTGTGTGTGTCACTACGGAGATAGAAAGGCTTTGAGAGGCTATACGCCACTCATCCAGGCAGGTAGGTTAGAATAATCCGCTCTGTGTTAAAGGAATGGTGCAAGGTGTTGAGTGGGAGGCATGTGTTCCTCCGATGGCTAGTTACTTCGACAGAAGAGGAAACGGAGAAAGGGGCGAGAGAGGGGGGGGGGTTAACTGGGAGGTTACACGATGCTGGGTGCAGTTCCACGTTGGGCGCAGGGAAAATATCCCGATTAGTGGCTATCGCGTTCGTCCTCACTATTGTTGTGCGCTTATCGGCGGAGGATCATGTTTGTGGTATGGTAGTTTACGGGGGACAGGAGCTTGGTCAGTTCATTTGGTTGTTCCTAGACCGTCTCTGGGTACTACCTGCGGCCCAGGCTATATGGTGGCGAGACATTTGAGGTTCGATGTCCGATGTGTTGGTCTCACGTGTCCATAATCCTCATGTGATAAACATTTCTCTTACTGTTCTTCAGATATTTCCGCCGTTGGCCGTGCGGCATTTACGCTTGTAAATGCGTGAACGGGGCCGAGATATCGACCAGTTCGGAGAGGGGATAGGGTATCTGGCAACCTCTTCCGGTCACATACCATGTCCTCGAGGTGATGCAAGGTTCTATCCAAGTCGTAATCGCGACAGCAGTCTCTCTCTGAGACTCTAATAAGCCAAGGGCACACTGGGGATGAACCGACCCGGAGTGTTGCAGTGTACGGCCCTATACATCTAGAAGTAACACGGCCAGGCACCGCAAGTTACCGAGTCGGCTCATCCTGTGTCCCGTCCCAAGACCGCAGTAGAGTTTCGTGAAACCCCATGGTTTATCCGCTGCCGAGGATGTCACCGATTGACCGCTCGTTGCCAGTACACTTTAGCTATTCCGAGGGGCTGGTCCCGGCCTTTCCTGACCCTAAGTAGGACCTGACTCGGGCATACCACTCTCTACTACTAAGTTCCGAAATTGGCCCGTTCTCGTGGTACCAAGGACCCCCTTCTTTATGGCGGAGGATGATTTGGAACACCCCGGGAGTTATCGGGCCTGTTGTCAGGAATGGGGGGTTTGAAGATAAATCAGGATGGCATGTGGTGCTGGTGTTACCACACGAAGAGACACAACGCCTAGTCAGACATGAGAAACAGCGCACTCCCTGGCACCGCCTCTGCCCGCAGCTGACAAGGAGCACGAGTACAGGGCGAGAGGGCGCCTGACAAGTGACGTTATGAGGTTGCGCTGCACCTTCCTGCCAGGAACAATACTGGTGTATCCCTCTCCTTGAGGGGAATCGTCGCAAACTAATCGAATAGCCCGAGGAGCAGGTAATTGACTGGTCGATCCATCATGGGACGGAATTCCGGGCCCGGCATCGACCATCGCATATACCTGGTCGTAACTAGCAACAAAAATCCGGTATGATGTAAGCCATCGAGGATCATCGGGAGACAACTCAAGAAGCCGGGCTGGTTTGGTGAGTTGTCCGGGGGGCTGAAGACGTTGGATCCGATGAACACGGCGGCCGAGGGGCGCCGCCAGACCAATCCGGCACACGGAGAGTGGGCATAACCGCCGTCGGTATTCTTTTTCCGGCTTCCGAGCACTCCCCTTGGATCCATTGCCAAACCTCGCGGGCAACACCCGTTTTTGGAATACACGACGATACGCTACCACGCGATCGCGGTCCGTGGGGCGGAAGCAGTTCGGTATAGTTATCTCAACCTCCTTTAATCTCGGCTTTTTCGGGAGATGGAGTGCGTGATGTACATAAGCGCCGCGTTGGGGTCAACATGGGAACGGAGAAATGCTGCATGAGAAAAACGCCGTCTTAAACTGAGATCCAGGCCTGACAGGTGTGATCGGCTCAGGGAAGCACACGGCGTGCTGGCGTGGTGGCGTGCTGGAGCAGCGTAGATCATGTATGTACATACATACAAGCAATGTACCGTATGTCCCCAATTGTGACGGCTCACACCCCCATCTCATGCGCGCAACGTGGACAGACGGGGTGTGTCTGATTTGATATCGGCCAAGGGGCTTTTTTAGGTCAGCCAGACCCGTCCTATCACTCAGCTGACGATGCATGCTGTTGTGACACGGCGGATTCACCCCCCCAAGGATGCGGGACGGCGGTTTGAGAGGGCAACAACAAACTCTGGAACCCGGGTTTTGCAGGCTCAGAGAATGCACCGGGGGTTGGGATTAAGGTGACATGGCGGGCCCGCGGGTCTGTTCGCTCCAACCAAGATCTGGAACTAAGGAAAAAGGACCAAGCGTTGCCGTCGGTACCGGAAAATTACAACCTTGATGTGTCCTGTGGCTTTTCGTCCCATCTCTTTTCCGTCCCGCGTCTCCCAACAGATGGAGGCACCATCTGAACTAACGTTGGGTCTGTGCCCCGTCCCATCGGTCGCTTGTTGGAGCTGCCGGAGCCGACAATCTGTTCCGCAGGCTTCCCATACCCTGGTCATCTCCGGGTCCTGCTTGCGGCGGCGATCATATCCGGGGCCTTGAGGGCACTCCACTGCTTCGTAAGTACGGGCCCCCATGCCCCGTATCCCGTGTCCCGAACCAGTTGCCAGGCGTTATTTTTTTCGCCGAAGTCGGTGCGAATAACAACTACTCCGGGGGGCAGTCCGTGCTCCGAGGTTCTCGAGAATCCTCCAGAACCTGTCCCGCCTGCAACGGACCCTAAGCAGCAGCGCGGCACGGAGGCACCACCGTGGAGCGCGGGAGCAAGCGCGGGACGACACGAATGATTGCAGGCCAAGGACGTACTGTCGTAGTATTCCGTGTTGCAGGAACGGATGGCGTGGTAGTGGGCACTATATATCCGGAATTGGTTCCCCAGTCCCAGCACCACGAGTATCCACAGTCGATGCCCAGCTTGTCGGTACCCTCCACCAGCGCTGCTCTGCGGTCAATTGCCATATCATTACTCAGCTATACTGTGTAGTGTATATGTGGACCAAGTATGTGCGTGCATATAGTTAGGTATGTAGGCAGTCTGCGACCGGGAGCCGGCGGAGCGCTTTGTTGAGATGCAATAATTTGGCTAGAGAAAGAGACGGCCGTTTGCTGGTCGGCGAGTTTTCGCGCCTGACACACTGGTTAGTCAACACTGGGCGCCCCGTCTCGTCAACTCTCTGGGGGGGCATTCATCCCATCCACCCCGCCTCAGTCTTGGCCCTCCTGCGTTGCGCCAGAAGGTGTGACGGCGGGTCGCTGTCAACCCGAAAGAGACAGCGGGACAGGGCCGCAAAGAGGTCCGCGACAAGGAAAATTTCCCGGCCACGAGGGCGGGAACAGGGAAATGACTTCCGGGGCGAACGGGCGGGTGAGGACCCCACTCATTGTCGCGGCCCCGGTTTTTTAATGAGTCGTCCGGATTTTGACGAGGTTTTTTTGGGTTTCTTGTGAGAGTGGTCATGATGTCTCAAACTGAAAACGTCACCGCTGCGGACGACCTGGCCGTGCCTAGTGGATGGTGAAGCAACGGTGGGTGGGGTCGAGGAAAGCAGCGCGAGTTGCATGACTGGCGCACGATAACTAATGCTGGTGATTGCGCTGGGCAGTCACTAGCGGACTTCTTCGGAGGTGACCGTCCAGCGAGGCGCTTTCCTTTTTGGCGCTGCTGGGCGTGAGAGTTGCTCAAAGGGGACGCCCGAATCGATGGAGTCCAATTTAATCATGCGGCAGGTGCGGCAGCAGTTGCATGTGCAGAGTGGGGTGCGTCGCCAGCAAATTGATGGCGAGGATGGAAGGAGGGAGAGCTGTCAACTGAGGTTTGAAGGCTGCCAGGCTGCATGATGACATCCCTGCGTCTCGACCAAACCGACTTGGAACTGACTTGGAACCTCTTGACCTTCTCGGCGGCTTCGGCCAGCGGGAAGCCTGCTGATTGGCCTGCCGCCCAAAGAGGCCTCTGATGGAGGTCAACTGCACTGCATGGCAAGAGGAAAGTTCCGCCGTGGCCCGATTGATAAAAACTACTAGTGGAGTGTGGTCGGAACCGGGCGAGATGGTAGCGAGTACCTCTCCTTCGTACCTTCCATACCTTGGGGGATAGGCAGGTACCGACCTCCTTACCTGTCTCGAGATGACTGGAGAATTTCATGGAAGGTGCCTGACCCACGGGCTGACAAGACAGGAAGGACAGATCCGACTCTGCCATGTACGTACCTGGTCCAATCTGGGAAGCCACATCTTGAGGATGTCAGTGCAGAAAGGAGAGAAGGAGCGATGGTAACCGCTGTTTGTGTCGGTGTTGGTGCAACATTCAAGGCTGGCAAACGAATTAGGTAGCGAGGCCACCGCTGAAATTGTCATCATTTTGCGCTGGATAAACTTGGAAAGGTTCTCGTCGTTCGAGTTGGCAAGCATCGACAGGGCACCCCAAAGGCGCCCAGTACATGGTGACTGACGCAAAGCGTGCAGTTTCCATTGATCAACTTTTACTTCGTACCAAGTAACTTCACAGTCAGTGACGGTTGCGCCAAGATCTTTGCGCTCTCGCTCGCCTATTCGGTCCAGACCGTTCTGTCAGGTCCAAGCTCGAGGAGCACTCCTGGACCCCAAAAAGAACATTTACTTTGGCTGCCTTCAGCGATAACGGTATATCCCGCATGCCAAACTGCGCACGGTGGAAACGACCCTGAAATCTTGAAATAATTGCCGCTGCCAACTTCGACCGTTACGCCTTCCTGGCTCGGCAACGTTCCGGCGGGAATCTCTCCGAGATCAAGATTGTGTGTCCGTTCCATTGTATGCATACCCGCTCACGGCTGCTTGCGGTAGGTTTGGGCCGCAGTCGCACAAGACGGCATCTTTGCGAGACGCGTTGAACCTGCGTCGAAATCCGTGCCGGCGTCGAGTTCGAAACCGAGCTGTTGTTGATGCCCAGCATGCACGGTTCGCAGGCTGCACCCAGTTACCCCTGACCTATAGTGGCCCCAATTAAGGGCTAAGGGCTGATCTTTTTTCGCCCGGGTACCTGCCAAGCATCTGACATGGGATCGATCAAATCTCCTTGCCGCTTGCGATGGCTCGGGGCCCCGCCGACAGTGTCCGTTGTCGACCAGACCAGGGCGCGATGTCACCGTTGCTGGCGAAGTCCTCAAGGAACTTGTCTCACCAGACCCAAGGAGGAAAGAAAGGAAATAAGGCAAACTCGGTGGCCAAGCCAGGGAAGCTCGGTTGTTCGGGGCAAAGACCACAAACCGTTCGGGCTGCTCGAGCACAGGCAGGCCGTGAGACCTCGTCATACTCAACGCACGTGCTGGCGCGTTGTGGTTGGAATTCAAGAGACATCCTTCGCCAAGTCGATCATCACAGGGCGTTGGGTTCTGCCCGTAATTTGTGCGCGTGCTGGGACGATCTTCCGCTCCCCATAAATGAGCTGGGAGCACGCACGGCCTTGACATGGGATGAACCGACGAACCCCCGCCACCCTCATGCGTGTGATGGCGAGACCTCCATGCCATGACGGCGTGTAACAGCCAATACCGAGACACCTCGGACGAATTCCATCATACGTGAAAATTAGTTGTGGGGGAACGGTTTCCCAAGCTGGGCACCCACAAAATACGACACAGTTACAAGGAGCTGATCGCCAAAGGAGGAGGGGCATGAAAATAGCTCAGCACCCGTTTTTGACGCAACGGTTCCCGGCATAACGTCATGCGATGCCGTGATGCCCAGTAGTTATCCCTCTGATCCCAGATCTCGCCTGGAAGCCGTCTTCGGGAGTTTTTTTTCGATGCATGCGGATCGGTTGGGTTTGGAGATCGCATCGTGACCCGCTGGCTTCTTCGATCAACGTCAACACTGGAACACTCGCTTAGCGCCCAAGCGGCAGACGCCGCAACGCGCATTAACTTTGGTGATTGTCAGGGTCAACGACCAAGTCGGACGGGATGGGATCGGCACGGCACTCAGAAGCGCAAAGAGGGCTGTTGCTACTTTGTACGTACTTACATTAATACATACATAGGTATGTACATCGGGCTGTCTTCTGGTTGCGCTGTGCCAAGGCGAGCCTCTTCCAGGTTGGGGTTGAGTAGCCGGGATTTTGAGTGGTCGGCCCGGGCACCGATCAGGCAAAAGGTCGCCGAAAGAGACGGCCGACAGCAAGAGACGCCCCAAAACGACGAAAGCTCGGTGGCTGAAGGAAAAGCATATTTCCTGCGGACGAGATTTTGTGCAAAGGCGCATTGCAAGCGCCGAGTGCCCATGGCAAGGCGTCACCTTAACGTTCCGTAGGGCTGGCCTTAACTCTTTTCTGGTGATGCATCAGAAACGAACCTCAATTTCATCGGCAGCCCAGATCACATACCTACGTTATCCCGATATTGCTCTCCGCAGGCTGTTGCGCGCTAATACCCGAGAAAACCCCCGCCATTGTTAAAAAAAAATCCGAGTTGGCGATGTACTACTGCGGCAACGCTGCTTGATGCCCGTACCCGCTGTTCTTCTTCGGGTCCAATGTTGTGTGTCAGGGGTTCGAGATGCACGACGCTGGCTACCGCAACGGCCGAGCACGATGGAAATGCGAGAGCGGGGGCTCGCCCGGATCTCTGATCCAATGGGATCAGTCAGCCGTGTCGAAGACAAAAACGGAGGCTCGACGCTGTGGGCGATCATGCAGCTGTCACGGGTCCCTTCCGGTTTGCCGCCACCTGCTCTGTGTCTCAGCGGTTGGGAGCCACTCTCACAGCAGATCCTTTTGTACGGTGTAGCGCCTATTGTTGAAAAAAAAAAAAAAGCCTGGCTCGTTCATGTTGTGTGCCGATTAGAGGTGAGAAGCGAGGCGATGGGGCATGTCGTCCGGGAAGATATCAATGATGATATGATTATCGCGATAGGGCAATGTGTATTAGACGCTCGCGTTGTAGCGAGAAGCCCGGGTGGGCATGGGCCCTCAAACCCTTGGCTTGTGCGGCCATGAGGTGCCGTCACTTCACCAAGTACCTACCAGGCATGCACCTCTATCCATGCTTGGCGCCAGCCTGCTGAACCGACGCAACGGAAAACGTTGATCTGCTCCTGTGACGAATGGGAAGTGGGAACAGCTGCGGCCGAATCCTTTTCAAGCCAATCACTATCCGCATTGGGATTTGGATTTGAAGAGGAAATGAATTCTGTAACAATCCGGGGGATACCGAGCCCGCGGTTTGTGCTCTCGACGCAGCGACGGGTATGTGCATGACCGCTGTGGTAGGTCGATTTTCCAACCGGAGACATGGCGGCAGAAGAAAGGAATTCCTCAACCGAAAGGTTCCTCGCGGGACCGAATATTCAATGGCAGACATGCTGTTCCTTCTCTCGGATGGGTTGATGTCCTTTCGACTGTGTAAGGATGAAAGTGATGCACTTGCCAAATGTGTCACCACAGGGGTCAAGACACGGCACTTGCCTTTTCTGGGCTGATCTCATCGCGGGATCACCGTGCTGAAAGCACCGTCTACAAACTGTGTGGCGCTTCCACGCGGCAGCAGTCCCTTCCTGTCAGGGGTGCTTGCACCACCGGCTCGCTAAATAAGGTCTAGCTCAGCGGTCCCTTCCATTCCAGGACATTGCCTGGGCAAGCTCGAGCTCCAAACAACTTTTCGCTTTTCACAGGCATGGCAAGAGCAACACCGAAAACTCGCGCTCATTCCAAGTTTGGCATCGCTGCGAATGGAGGTTGGCTCCGGGCCAAGCTCTGGTACCTTACACGTTAGTTGTATTCAAGCGGGAGGTAGTAGCGAAATGTCAAAGAAGGATCCAACCTCTGGATGCTCCTCGCCCGTAACCACCGCTTGCCTGGGTACCGAGCTTTCCTTGCTTTCTGTTAACAGCGACCACCCGACGATCTGTGTCGTGCACAACCCCGAGGCTATCATCAATCACCCTTCAATCCTGGAAGCAGCCTCGGTCCCGGTTGTGGTTGACTTCCGATGGCACAAGTTTCCTACCTCTGGCGGCCCATCTCCTCGGTTGTCTTTTTGTCCGGGCTTCTTCAGTTTTTTCTCGTCACATGGAGATGAGACAAACTGCATGCTTCACAACGAACAGTGAAAGAGCCTCCAATATCGGTTACAACATCACTGGTGCGTCACAACGCCGAATGGGAATGCCCTGTTCCGGATCCCCTATCTCGACTCGCTCTCGGCTGGTTCTGCACAACATCGGCGGTTGTCCTTGGCTTCTTGGACATCCAACCGACCCCGCTCCCAAGTTTCTGGTCGAGCCCGGCCCGCCGGCGGTGGTAGCCCTTGATTGCGTGCCTGCCTGCCCTGGTTGCCGGCGCCAATGCTAGGTAAGGTAGTTTTCCGGTCCAACCTGATACTTGACGCTTGAGACGGGTCACGGACACATCATCGGACGTGCGAGACACCTCAAGCGCATCAACGAAATTGCGCTGCGCTCCGCTTTCACACTGCAAGCGTTGCTTGATGCATTCAATGGGGCGCACGAAACGGTGTCCCGCGGAGTGGCCCAGCGCCCAATAGACCAACGACTTCCCCAGTTCCGTCTGCAGAACTGCCCCATCGTTCCCCGAGTTCCACTATCTGCAACGGCACTGGCGCACTCACACACTCATATTACCCGTGCAGACAGGGAGGCGCCCAGGTCAAAAACGCACCTCCAGCCCCTTGGCCATGGGGGGGAGGGGGCCACCTGAGGCTTGACAATCTTCACAGGCTGTAACCGGCTGGCCCCGGGCGCCGTCTGTGCTCGTACCAGGATCACAGGATTACAAGATTACAGATTACCATACACAGTGGTTGCTTCGTACACCAGAACTCGCTGGGGGGAGGGGGGGTTTGACCTGGACCCGGGGCCCTTGTTGGCCATTGCCTAGCAGTACCCTTCGATTTTCGGGCCCTCCATGGATGGCGTGGATGGCACACACTTGCCAGGGTGCCCTGACTTAGTGAACGGCTATCCTTGCTCCATCTAGGGGCTACCATCTCAATTGCACCGTTGCCTTAAACTCGCACAAAAACCACCGAGTGCCACTGACACCAAATCTCTGTCTCCCGAGTCTCGACCAAGCTACCTTGCTGGCCTAGATAACGATTGCGAGCGGAGCTCACGAGTACCGACAAAGACGCAAAGACGACGCCCCCAGCAGCTACCCAACCGTCCGGTTGCCCCTCCGCTTCCCTCGGCTCACACCCACACCCCATGTTACGGGAGACTTGACTGGTGACGGGACCGGCCTGCAGCTCCCCGAGAGCTTCTCCATCGTACGGGCGCCGCTACATGTTGTACCACTGGCCGGATCCCCAAGATCACTAAAAGGGTTCACATTGCAGCATCTTGTCCGACCCAGGCGTCTTGTACAGTGGCCCGCTCCTTCGCCCGCCACCACCTGGCCCACCCCATTTGGCAAATCCAGCTCCCTCTCGTTCTCAAAAGGGCTGTGGGTTAGCGCGAAGTACTCGAGCCTCAGAATCCCGCAGTGCACAACGAGCGCAGCTCCCCTATCGCTTACCAGGAAACCTTCAACGCCGCCCCCCTCATGCAAAGCCCCCCTCTCCCGCCAACGACTTCCGCTGCGGACGGAACCTTACTTTTACGCCTGTGCGCGCCGAGACGTAGGAGATTCCCTTCGTCCTCTACCGGCTCACGCTTACCCACTACCCGTCACATCGGGTAATGTCGGTCGCTGTCTCTGCTCAGGGCACGGCTTGGAAGCTTGTCTCCCCTGGTGGGGGCCCCGTTGAGATTGGCTTGTGGAGTGCGGTTCCGCCCTCGTTGTCCGGCAGACGGGTTCGGAATCTCCGGTATCCTCGCCGACCTTAGCGGCACGTCCTCCATGCGGCCATCCGGCCACCGACGCGACGATTCTTGGACGTCTTTCGGCCAGCGCCGAGGAATACCGGACACGGCACGCTTCGGCCTTGACCTGACACAGACAAGAACCGGTTCTGGAGGCGCTGCTGGTCGAGGAAGCTACCCGTCTCCGCCCATGTCGGGGTCTCCGCCGCTTCCCCTTAAAACCAGCCCCGAGGTTCCCGAACGGAGTCAGGGGTCGTATCAAGCAACTACACAGGATGTGTACTCTGGCATTTCAGCAACACAAAACGAGGAGAGGACACAGTCGGGAGGTGTAGGCGGGCAACGCGCATTCTTTTCGGATGCGCCAGAACGGGCATCCTACACTTTTTCCTCGACTTGATGGCCCGGTAACAAGACCGCCGCCCTACCCACAATCACTCGGTCAGGGCGCCACTCAGCCAGCACCCTACCTGCCTGGCCCCGGGGCTGGAGCGGCTGCGAACCACCCCGGGTCGTTGCCCCCTCCGCAAACATATCCCGCGGGAGCTCACCACCCCATCCCCGACACCCTCCACGACACACCGCCAAAACCGCAAAGAAAGACGAAAGGGCATGTGGCATCCGCATGCGTGCCTTGTAAAAAGGCACATCTCCGGTTCGTCGCCCATGTTTTTGACCCCATCGTCGAACCGGAAACGTGAAAGTGCTGACGATTGGCAGATGCGACGGTATGTACCTGGACTCATTCTCGGCCGATATTAAACTTGAACCAAAAAAAGGAACAACCGGGCTAGGCGGGCAGCTCTAACGGTGCGGCTCCGCCGTAGGGGTTTGCGGAATTAATTGACATCATATTGTCGAGCAATTCCGGGACCGTTTAGGCGCGGCATTCAGCGGCGCCAAGCACCAGCGTGCAACGCCATTCAAGCTGAGACGGCCCATTGGTTTGAGTGTCGTCGCACCGGTTATGGGGTCGCCAGGCTGCAGGAACGGGAGGGGATGGTTCTCAAGCGGGCGCTATCTCTTGTCCGTGTTTGGGTCCAGATGCGCGGGGCGATTGGTTCGGGGCCGGTGCTGCACTTCCTCCTTGGGCTGTCACCACTCCATGCCAACACGGTTCGCTACTGCAAGGCGGATGTCTGATCCTACGGCAAGCCGGCCCGTTGCCCTTGAAATATGGTGGGATTTCCCGCTGATCAACGGCTCGGGCAGCCTTGCTAGCCCCCTCCTCTTTTAGCCACTACGATGCATCACCAAGCGGTTCGGGGGTCTGAAGGCTCACCGATTCTCGTGCTCGTTGACGGATGACGTCCGGGAGCTGTCTTGGGAAAGCCCAGCCCGCCCTTCTGATCGCTTCCCTAGCGTCCTCTTCGCTTGACCCCGGGCAAGCTATTCTCGTGGCTAATAGGCTAACAAGGCAACAGCCCAGCGCCCCTGCTCGAGGTGTATGAGCACCAACAAAGAGGGAGCATGTATCGACGTGCAGCACAAAAAACGCGGAAGGCCTCGCTTGCGAGATGACAGCCAAGCGAAATACGAGGGCTCAAGGTTCGGGAGCGCCGTGGATGCTATGAGGAGGCCGTTGTCGTCGGCTTATGGTCCAGGACCGCCGCTGGGTATGGTTTACGATGACCCTCTTCGCCGCATTCAATCGTACCGCGTGCTGAAATCTCAGCCAGCTGAATCAATCGCTCCGCGGTTCCCGGAACGGGGGTTGGCGTCTGATGCGAACATGTACCCAGCCCCATTGTCAATCGCTACGGCCAGAGTCCACGAAGAACCAGTCGCGTACTTGACCATCGGCCTCGAGTTTGCGAGGGCGTCGCCTTCCTTCCTGAGTGCGATCGGGCGGGCGTCGGTAACGGGGCTCGAGATCACGAATGTGCTGGCAGTTGAGGAGCGCCCCAGGGCAACTAGGCTCCAGCAACAAGCACAGGAAGAGCAGGCCAGAAAAGACCCGGCTTATCTCCCGCCGATATTTAACGACCGGAGCGACGCCGTGATGCAGAGCCTTAGCTTTACTCCGGAAGAGGTGTCAAGATACCCACTGCACTGGCTAGACACTTTCACCTTTTTAGGCGATGATGGGCAACCGAGACAAATTCCGGTGCGCGCTGGGTTAGCGACTCGAAACTCGATATATTTCGTAGTCTTGTTGCTGAATCGGGGGTCTCGACCTTCATATCCAACGCCATCTCCGAGCCTCAGAGATATGAGTGGGTCGTTCGAGCCGGGACTGCAACATTACTCCCAACCCACGCCCCTGTCGGCGACATTTGATCCGCGACAATCGAGGTTAAGTGATCCCGGATACGATCCTCGGCCATCCGGACAACAGGCTGGCGGGTCGCTTCACATGTTACCGGCCCGAAGTCCGGGTCTCTCGTCGGCGTATGGCATTTCACCGAGCAGGCCAGACTACCCGATCACTCCGAGAACGTTCCAAACTCCCAGGACTGAGTTGCACTCAGCAAGCCGCGCGCCCCAGCCGGCGGATTATCAACTCCTGCCCCTCCCAAGGATCAGGAGCCCACCGATGGGCACTACGCAACAAACTGAACCGCCTCAAACACAGCAGTCGCATTCGCAGCCGCAGCCGCCCCCGCCGCTACCGCCACCACCGCCATATCAAAGCCGAGAAGAACGGTCCCGCATAGGCATCGGGGGCTTGCTTGAGCAGCCGGGGCAGACGAAGAGCCCATGACGAAAATAGCCCATGTGGTTAGTCTGGACTGAGGCCGTCGTGATGGACGTCTGCATGAGCTGGAAAAGAGGGAAAACAAAAGCAGTGAAGGCTAGAGAAGGATGCCGGTTCTGTGGACCCTTTTTATGTTTTGTTTTTTGTTTTGCGTTGTATTTCTTTTTTTTTTTGTTGGGGAACTGGTTTGCGAGGTCGCATTTGGGATGATACCACTGTATATCTTTGCACATAACTCCTGTGTTTAGTGCATTCGGCGCGCAATCCTGTGTCTCGGGGGCCGGCGGGCGACGGATGGTAAAGGAACAGGGAGCATTCTTTGGCGTTTGTTCGGCTCGGGCTTTTCTTCTCTCCTTTTTTCTTCTTTTTGTCAACTTTAACTTGCTTCTTCGACTTCTTCGACTTCTTCGATATTTTTTTCCCAGTTTATACTTTTTTGTTCTCTTTTGATTTTGGCCCTTCTCTTCTACTTCTTCTTCTTCTTCTTCTTCTTCTTCCTCTTCCTCTTCTTCTACTTCTACTTACCAAGTCCTTTTAAATTGGGACACACTTGCGGGTGGTTGGTCTTTATCTCGGGGGCTGTTTCCGTCGTCTTCCCTTGAGCGGCAAACGTAGGCTGGATTACACGGCGGCACGCGTGGAGAGACGCGGCCTGGGGCGGAATACCAGGAGTATTTCTGGCGCTTCAGCCTCGGTCCTTCAGACTTCGTTCGTTCGTTCGTTCGTCCCGGTCTATGCTGCATTGTCTTCCGACGCCTACCAAGGAGAGCCATGTCGTCTCATGATGCGGCGTTTTCGGGAGGTTTCCTTGGCTGTTGTTTTGCTCCCGGTGGATGTGTTCTGGCCCCGCTTTGCATGCGGCCTACCAACGAGGCCAAGTAGACGGGTTTGGGTCGGAGACGGGACAATTCTGGGCCATGTGTTCATGGCTGCAACACTGGTTTCGGTTTCAAACGTGTGGAAGACTGCTGACTGTGGCGTGAGGTGCGATGGCGGTCGTCGGATGGAGGCACTGAAAATTAGCGGGAAGGAAAATAGGATGATACCCCTGAATGGGTGGACGTTGACTTAGGGTTTTACTCGGAGTTTCTGACCAACCGGAGCCGCAGTGGCGGGTGCCATGGCCGGGAGTCGTAACCCGGGCAGGATGATCTTGGCCCTGGGGAAAGGGTTTAATGAATGTACAAGGACAGACAGAGGAAGAGATTAACGCGGCCACTGGCGTTGCCAGCCCAAGCACAGAGGCCTCGATCTCAGCAGGGGTGAAGGATGGGGCTGACGCAACGGAATGACGAGAACAACGACTGGATACGAGCACTCACCCGCCAACGCAACACTGCATAAAAAGACACAAACCAGCCAGATAGCTCGCAACGAAAGAGTTGTCGGTCCTACTTTGAACATTCGCCTGTGCCTTGCCAACTGTACGTACCATCCGCGTTCTTGGTCTTCTTCGGCTGCGTCTTCCGTTCCTCCCGGTGGAGATTTGCGTAACATTGGGCGTCCCGAGGAATGGCCTGGCCCGGTCTTGCCTGAGTTACGTCGGATCGTCTGACATGACATGCTTGGGGGATTCGGGTTCGGTTGTGTTGTCCCCCACATACCGATAAACGTCAACTAATAAGTATGCTGTTTGTGTCAGTGGGATTTATCCATGTTCCCGATGGCCGGCTTGTGAAGAGCAAGGCCGGGTCGGGTTTTGGACGGTTTGCTGACGGCAATAAATAAGTTAATAAATGGATGCACCTATGGGAAAGGCGCAACAACAACTCGGACATAATGAACGGAATGTTTTAGCGAGCAGGAAGGTCGAACCCTCGGTGTACTATTGCTTCTCACGACCGACAGGTTTAAGAAAAGGACTTCGCTCGGTAAGAACTGGGCAACATGTTTCGCCAAGTGTCGTAATTCGGACGTTGAATTGTGAACACCGTCCTCAATCCCAACCCACGCACACCAACCACCCCCCCCCTTTCATTCAATCCCCCCTTCACTCACCCCCTTCCCAACCCCCCCGCCTCACCCACAACTCCACCCCCACCCGCCTCGCCAACTCCCCCATCTCACTCCTCACCTCCCGCTCCCCCTCACAAACCTCCTCATCCTCCCCACGCATTACCAACCCCAGCCTCCGCAACCTCGGGATCACCACCCCGCACCCCGTTCCCACCAGCACCATTAACACTACCATTTCCAGCAGTTCTGGGTCGTTGTCACCGCCAAACAACGCCAACCAATCCCTCACCGCCGCCGCATGGCCCGTCTCGTCCCACGGCTCCTTCGTATCGATATCCACGTACAGGTCATCGGTCAGGGTCAGGACCTCAAGACTGGGCGGGAGGCAGTGGGCGAGGGTGTGGTGGGGGTGGGTGGGCAGGGGGAGGGCGAAGCCGGTGACGAAGACGAGGGGGATGGTGAGGGTGCGCAGGTGGGCGAAGTGGGCGAGTGCGGCCATGGTGCCGTGGATGGAGAGGGGGAAGGGGATGAAGGGTTGGGTGGTGTAGAGGCAGGAGGCGTGGATGTGCAGCGTGGTGAGGGTGGGGTGGAGCGGGGTGAGGGCGAGGAGGAGTTGGGTCAGGTTGACGGTGGGCGTGTTGGCGGCGTCGGTGGTGATGTCTGGGTCGAAACGCCATTGCCAGTTGAGGGTGTGGAGGTGGGGGGTGGCGGTGAGGAGCGCGGCGAGGTGGGCTTCGCGGATGTGGCGGAGGGCGAGGGTGTGGAGGTTGAGGGCGGAGGGCGGTTGGGGAGTGGGCCAGGGGAGGGTGGAGGTGGGGGGGTCGTCGATGGGGAGGTCGAGGATTTGGATGGATGGGAGGTAGAAGAAGGGGAGGATGTTTTCTGTGTTTAGGGAGCTAGGGGTCAGGTAGTGGCCGGGGAAGCGTTCGAGGGAGACGGTTTGGAGTTGGTGTAAGCTGGTGCTGTTGATGCCGGGTATGGGTTGACTGGGGTGGGAATCGCAAAGCATGCTTCGTAAGACGAGAGTTATGAGGTCGGTTTTTTGGGAGAACTTGTGGGTGAGATACAAGCGTCGGAGGCGCGGTAACTGCGATAATAGGATGGCGAGGTAGGCGTCGAGGTTGCCCTGGCGTAGCTCTTCCATCCAAGTGTCGCGGTATGGTAGCCCAGTCTTCTCCACGAAGGACAAGGCCTCTTTTAGGCCTGTCTCACACACGGGGATATTTTGAGCCTCTAGAATCTCCCCCGTGTGTTCACCTGGCAAACACGAGACAGACCGTACGAGAGTGGCAAGGTCCGGTCGACGCAATAGGGTGCGTATAAGTGAGGTGATGGGGTGGCGCGTCGAGGAGTATTTTTCCTCGTCATAATAGAGTTCGATGGTGGAGTAGAGAGGTGCCTCGGCGAGATAGCGCAGTTGCGGATGGACCAGACAGACTTTGTAAAGATCATCTTGTGACAGGTAGTCCAGGATCAGGCGCAGCACGTCCTCGTTGCAATCCAGGAGGTGTGTGGTCATTTGAGTTGCGGTCAGTTGAGTCAACTGCTGGTTGGTCAATCAGCGGGTTGATTCTGTTTATCTATCCTATTGCTTTATAACTAGCGACTTACCATGGTGACGAGGTTGGATCAAAATGAGGAAATGTCGGGAGTGACTTTTAGGGTTATGATGAGAATTGATGATCAGAGAAAAGGTTGCGGGTCGGCTCACTTCAGCCGTGCGTTCATATGCTTGGAATGTTAATGCTTGGTGAGTGGTACTTCAGCTAGAGCCGTGGTGGGTGTCGGAGGCAAGTGGTTTTAAAGCCTATGGCCAATGAGGAGCGGATCTTGGCCGAGTCGGTCACCTTCTCACCAATATGCCCCCCTAAAGCATAAAACAGTCACACGGAGCCCAGGAGTATTGGTATTCTTCATTGCTACGAATACCTCGAACTTTTAACAGTCTAAGGCCATCTCCCACCGCCACAGTAAAAAGCAAACACTATAAATGATAAATGCACATTGCGCTCTGCCATTGTATACCAACCCAAGCATATCCAACCCTCGAGTGAAGTACGTCCCCTTGAAATCAGCATTCCGAGTCGTTGTCGCTAGAACTAGCCGGCTCGGACGTCTCTGGGATCCCACTGCGAGACATAACTGTCCCGTTGCCAACACGCGGCAGTCGTCTCCTAGCCGCTCTGATGGGAAGCGTACCCCTTGTCCTGCTGGGGACTGTAGGACCGGGTGGCCCACCGATCGAAGGGCCGTCGATGGGACTTGGGTACGCAGCGGCGGCTGATATCGAAAAGGTCGCAGAGCCCGATGACGCCGTGGCCGAAACGGGGGACGGATTCAAGGCGAACAGGCGGTCGAGCTCCTCGCCGAGTTTGTCCCGCTTCGCCAGGGGTTCGTCGGCCGTCTCGTCGTCGTGTGGTCGCTTCAGGCCTTGAAGGGCATTGTTGGTAGTGTCGTTGTTTAGGTCGGTATCCTCGATCAAGCCCCTTAGCAAATCCTCGGGGGGCATCCGTTCGTTTTGCAGCGGCTGTGATGACGGCTGCGACGAAAGGAACGAGGACAGAGAATTCGTGGTTGCTTGTCGGGCCAACGACGGTTCCGGGTCTCGCGAAGATGGAGGGCGCACCGATGGCGAACGGGAACGCCTCCCCGTACTCCGCCCTCTAATATGCTATCAGAACTGCCGGCGCCGATTTATAACTAGATACCCGTGATAGGAGGGTGCTCACCTCTGACTCAATGAGTCGACATTGACATGTACTGACGAACGTCCCTCGCTGGCAGCCGGTTCCGGGCTCGACAGCCCGGATATATCGCGTGGGGAACCGTTGGTCATGACTCGTCAGTTGGTTGGTTGGGTGAGTGTCAACAAGGTTGTGTATCACGACTTATGCTTGGCCCAGATAAAAGATCAACGCAGCTGCGAGATGCAACTGGCCTCGGTGTGGTCGGTGTCACATACTTAAAGGAAAAAGGTATAAGCCAGAGTTTGAGTCCGAAGCAGTCACTCGACCGGAGGATCAAGGTGAAAATGACTTTTTTTTTCCGCCCAGGACTTCACAAGGGTGCCCCGCTTGAAAGCCCTCCCATACGCCTGGGAAGATGGCAGGGCTGCAGGCGGCGTGGATGGACGGGAGTATGCAAGCAAGGACGGGAGCGGCGCGTTCGCTTCGCTGCAGGATGCAACTCTAACGCAACCCATGCCCGAGTCCGTCCATGCCCATGCCCTACCAGCATACCCAACACCCATACCAACAGCCACACCAACACCTACACCAACACCCCGCACTAATGGCTGGCTCGGTCCCACCACCTGACCGTTGACCGAATCAACCCCCAACGGTTGGCGTACTAACACGGTACACCTGTTAGGGCAGCGGCAGGAGGCGGGGAAAGGCACAGTTCCGGCATCTAGTCCTTGTAGCCGCGCGGAAAAAGCTCAGCCCCCGGCGGGCAGGAGAAGTAAGTGGCTTGGATCATTTGCCAGAATCTGGAAGCCTGGAGCGACCTGAATGCGCTTGAAGCCGGGCATGTTCCGAATTTCGTAACTAACGCCGAAACGGTTTGGGTTCGGGGCGATGGGAGGATGGGGAAGATGGGAAGGATTGAGGGCGCCGATATGCTTTGTTGATCGAAAGTAGGTAAGTAGGTTGAGCTGAGCCCGCCATTGGAAACTGTGCCGCCTGTGGCGTGAAATTGGTTACTAAGGCAAGGATGGCTAGGTAGGTATGTACGAATAAGGTAGTGACGGTAGAGGCGGTCTCCAGGTGCGTGTTCTCGCTCCTTCTTCTTGGCCAACCAAGACCGACAGGTGTGGCGCTGCAGTCCGCCGGAGTCGGACATAAACTGACCGGCTTTTGTGCCGCGCGAGCCCACCCAACTGTCAAAACCTTTGCAAAACAAGGTTGGGAAGAAGAGAACGGGAAGAAGCCGAGAAGTTGGGCTCAGGTAGTTTTGTTGGCTGGAACACTCGGGCCACATCACAGCAGGCAGCCAGCCCTGAGCCACTAAGCTCTTGAAACTAGTCCGTATCGGGACTAGATGACCGGCTGTCCGTGCTTGAGTGACGGCCCGTTCAGCATTGACCACTTGCCGGGGCTGAACCACAACAACCGATGAGGCTCAGTAAGAAGGAAGTCGCGATCTACCCATGCACCCCATGCATTCCATGGATGGATGCCTGACTCACCCACCTTTGTTTTCGAGTCGTCCTTGCCCGGGCAAGCTGAAATGAGCCACAAAGCGGCCGCACGTCAGCGCGGGGTACCTTTGAAAAGTGCCCAAACTCGCCAGTTTTAACCTTTCCCCGCCGCCCTTACATCCCCGTCACGCTGTACACTGTACGCCGTACACTGGGCCAAACGGGCCAAACGGCACAATGAGTGATGCAATGGACTCGGATGCGCCCCGTGGCGCCAAGAGAAAAGCCGATGCCCTTGAAGATGCGGCAAATCCCCGTAGGATCAAGGTATGCCATGCCGACAAGTCAAGTCTCCCACCCAAATGCCTTGGGACCTTGGGTGGTGTATCATGCGTCGGATTACTAAGCCCGAGTTACTCAGGCGCTTGATCAAGATGTCGTCAACAAGATAGCCGCCGGAGAGATTATTGTTGCTCCGGTTCATGCACTGAAAGAGTTGATCGAGAACGCCGTGGATGCAGGATCTACGTCGCTCGAGGTTCTAGCGAAGGATGGGGGCTTGAAGTTGCTGCAGATCACAGACAACGGCTCCGGCATTGATGTGTGACACCCCCTTCCCCTTCCCCTTCCCCTCCCCTCCCCCTCCCATTCCTTGCTCTCCCGTCCACCGCCCATGATGTATGACAGACTACTCACCGAAAAAAACAAAAAAAAAAACAGAAGGAAGACCTACCAATCCTGTGTGAGCGCTTCACCACCTCCAAGCTGCAGAAGTTTGAGGACCTTCAGTCCATCGCCACCTATGGGTTCCGAGGTGAGGCCCTGGCAAGTATCAGCCACATAGCCCACCTCACAGTCACCACAAAGACCTCGGAATCGAACTGCGCATGGCGGGCCTACTATGACAGCGGGAAGCTGGTGCCGGCCAAGCCTGGTCAGTCGCCTGACCCGAAACCTGTGGCCGGCCGCCAAGGCACTCAGATCACCGTCGAGGATCTGTTCTACAACGTCCCCACCCGCCGGCGAGCCTTCCGGTCTCCCGCGGACGAGTACAACAAGATCATCGACATGGTTGGGCCGCTACGCCGTCCACTGCTCCAACGTCGCCTTTTCCTGCAAGAAGCACGGCGAGTCATCGACAAGCATTGCCGTGCAAGCGACTGCGTCAGGCCTCGACAGGATACGGCAGATTTACGGGGGCAGTGTTGCCAACGAACTCACCGAGTTCTCCACATCCGACGACCGTTGGGCGTTCAAGGCCGAGGGGCTGGCCACCAACGCCAACTACAGCACCAAGAAGACCACCATCCTATTATTCATCAACCACCGCTGCGTTGAGTCATCCAACATCCGGAAAGCCATCGAGCAGACCTACTCCGCTTTTCTTCCCAAAAATGGCCACCCCTTCGTGTACCTGAGCCTCGAGATCGACCCCCAACGGGTAGATGTCAATGTCCACCCCACCAAGCGGGAAGTGAATTTCCTAAACGAAGATGAAATCATTCAAGCCATCTGCGAGCACATCCGCTCCAAGCTAGCCGCTGTAGATGCCAGCCGGACGTTCCTCACCCAGAGCCTGCTCCCGGGCGGCACCTGGTCTGGCCCCATCCCTAGCCCCCATGACTCAGCGGTAGCGGCCGCCGCCCCCTCTAAGACAATCAGCGGCGCCGCAGCAGCTCGCAAGACCCCCGCCCGGGCCAACGAAAACAACCTCGTCCGCACCGACACCAACCTCCGCAAGATAACCAGCATGCTGTCTCCGGCCGCCGCCACCGCCACCGCCACCACTACCACGGGCGGCCCGTCCTCCGACGCCCCAGCAGCAGCCGACCTTGCCGCCGCCGCCGACGCGATCGCGTACGAGACGGTCGACCGCGAGGCGACGGCCTGCCGGCTGATCAGCGTGCGCGAGCTGCGCGCCGCGGTGCGCGACGACATGCACCACGAGCTGACCGAGGTCTTTGCCAACCACAGCTTTGTCGGCGTCGTCGACGAGCGCCGCCGCCTCGCTGCCATCCAGGGCGGCGTCAAGCTGTACCTGGTGGACTATGGCCGCGTGTGCTACGAGTATTTCTACCAGTTGGGGTTGACGGATTTTGGGAATTTTGGCGTCATACGGTTTAGTCCGCCGCTGGATTTGAAGGAGCTGCTGACACTGGCGGCGCAACAGGAGAAGAATGCTGCTGCTGCTGCAACTGCTGTTGCAGAAGATAACGGCGACAATGACGGCGACGACGAGTTCGACGTCGCCGAGATAGTAGAGCTTGTCGGGGAGCAGCTGATCGAGCGGCGGGAGATGCTGCTCGAGTATTTCTCACTCGAGATCTCGCCCACCGGCGAGCTGCTCAGCATCCCGCTGCTCGTCAAGGGCTACAACCCGGCCATTGTCAAGCTGCCGCGCTTCCTCCTGCGGCTGGGCCCGCACGTCAACTGGGGCGAGGAGAAGGCGTGCTTTGAGGACTTCCTCAAGGAGCTCGCTTCCTTCTATGTGCCCGAGCAACTCACCCGCCACGCCGGGGAATGAAGAGGGTGCTGCTGCGGAGGA